GGAGAGGGAGGGCGCTCTAGCAAGCATTTTGAGTTAATTTGCAAGCGTTTTAAGTACTAATTAATAGTATAAACATTTAATTATTTTGGAAAGTGTAGTTTAAGTATGTGTACATATCATATGATTAAGAAATAGTTTTAAATTTTCCGCATTTTCCTGTATTAAAAAATCCGCGGCTTCGTATTAAAATTTGAGTTAAATGTTTATATTATTAAGGTCTCATTTAGTTCGCGGATTCGAGTTTTCAATTCAAATTGAGACGTGATTTATGTGAAAGCTTTTCACTGTAGTAAAAAAGTTAAATATAACTTTTTGTATGAGCTTTTAATTGTAGCAAAATTGAGATTGAAAATTTAAATCACTAAAATGAACGAGGCCTAAGTATTTTATAAGGAATGGTTAGAATTTTATAGGAAAAATGTAAAATATTTCCTCATTTTGTTTTAAGAACGCTGCTATCGTCCTACTTCTAGTAATAATAATTATAAAACGATTATTATCCTACTACTAGCAGCAACAGAATTATACCCTCAAATTCTAACATAATTTTAAAATTTCTTTTGTGACAAAATTCTATTGAAAAATTTGGGCGATATTTTTAGGGCATGTTTACTTTGCATTAAAGGAAAAGAGAAAGTGAAAAAATGATTTCATTTTCTATCTAATAATGTGTTTGCTTACAAAATTAATAATGAAAATGTAGTAGACCCCACACAATATAGAGAATAAAGAAAGAGAATGTCAATCTTTGTACCTCCTTTAGTTTTAATTCCTTGTCGGAAATGAATGTTAAATTTATTTATTTATTCTGAATGAATTACTATATAGTCAATGATTACTAAATTGTGTAAAAGAACATTTTAATGATTATATTCATAATATTATTATTCTTTATTTTAATAAACATAAGAAAGAGAATGTGATTTTTTTTCCATTACATCATCTATTAATTAAATAAACACTTAAAAAAAGAAATAAATGACTCTTAATCATATTATTTTATTTTTATTTTTTACGTTTCTTATTACATTCTTTTATAATTTGATAAACGTGTTCTTAAAGAACAAAATTGACGTTGTGATTGCGAAACATAAGCAGTCCATACCCACAACATTTTTTTCAAGAAAGTTTTGCCTCGTTTGTTGTGGCCTGTATTCGAATTCTGTGGCCCCTCGCCTTATTCTCTTTAGCTACTTTTTCTTTTTTCAGTATAATTTATTTTCAAGCTTATAAGCGAGAAAGGGAAAATATTCAAATAAAAATAGAGACAAGAATCTGATGTTTTCTCAGTATTAATCAAGAGTGAATTTAGACCCATACATTCTAAGGGTAAATTCAACCATTTTCTATTTATTTGTTAATATTTTTGTAAGTATTTTTTTATTAATGGGTTAAAAATGAGAGCTAATGAAAAAACTTGATATAATACATTGTGCGATAAAAAGGACCTATTGCTTCGTTCTCGATGTCAACTTGAACCTGAAAGGGTAAGAATTTTCAACAGACCAAAATTAACCGTTCAACATAGGTAGCTAGCGCAAAACAGTTGAAGAGTGCGTCATCAACATACAAAATTCTACGAACTATTCAACCCGAAAATAGAATTTAAGTTCAAATGTTTAAGATGATTATTATATGCGTTCAGGGCCTTCAGTAGAAGGTTCCTGCCTTAGTAACTCGGTGGAGCTCTAATAACGCAAGCCCAGCAGATGAAGCATTATAGCATTCTGTGCATGCATGCGGTTCTCAGCTTGTGGGAAGACGATGGAATTTGGGGCCTCAATCACTCCATCAGTCACTTCAACTCCTCTTTCTGCCGGTAAACAGTGCATGAAATAAGCTTTCGGGCCAGCTAACTTCATAAGATTTTCATCCACCTGTAAACAACATGCAAAACATATAATTCTCATTCATCCAACAAACAGGAAAATATTTCGAAGTGCGTTTCATAGAGCCTTATTTTTGAGAGGAGTCAAATAATCTATGCAGTGATGGCATGACATACGTGTGTGTGTGTGCGTATGTAACAGATGAACATAATAATGTCAGAGATATCTTTTCATTTTATTCACCATAATTTGTAATCTTGTACCAACTTCGTTGAATCTAGACAGAAGCATGCTTGTTGGTAAAAGATTTGTACAGAGACAAGTCCACAAAGATGCAAACATACATAGTTCTCATATTTCAAGTGCAGCATCCAAACAATGGCGCTAACATAAATTTGTTCAGTACATACCTGAAATCCTTGGAAAACTTGACGACGATATGCAGCCTCTTCCTTTTGCCCCATGCTGGCCCATACATCTGAATACACAACATCAGCTCCTTTCACAGCCTCTTTTGGATCATTTGTAATCTCAATTTTGCCCACGCCAGCCTGTTGTGCCTTCTCAACTGTGTTCTTATCAGGTTCAAAACCTTTAGGGCAAGCGCAAACAAAGTGAAAAGGTATAACGGACGCCAGTAACAGCCAAGAGTGCACAATGTTGTTCCCATCTCCAACATAGACAACCTAAATTACAAAAGATCATAAAGTAATTAACATCTAAATATACCAAAAAATTGAAAACATAGAATGTAAGACAATATCGAAATTACAAAATAACAGGCTGACCTTGGTTCCTTCTAGCTGACCAACATGTTCAATAATAGTAAGGGCATCAGCCATAATTTGGCAGGGATGGTTATAGTCTGTCAGGCCATTGACAACAGGTACAGTTGAGTATTTGGCCAAATCAAGAATGTCCTGCAACAAAATAGATAGAAAAACGGTCACTGGGTAATTTCATAAGGATCCATGGCACCTTCTCCAACAAGCTAAAAACCATATGAGCATTTAAATGGAGGTCGAAACACAGAAAAAAAAAAAAAAAAAAAAAAAAAAAAAAAAAAAAAAAAAAAAAAAAAACTTTTTGGGAATTCAATATGTCTACTCCATTTTCTCTCCTTTTTCTTTTGAAAAAAAAAAACCAAAACAAAACATTTTCGGGCTTTGAACACCATCAAAATTCAATATGTCTACTCCATTTTCTCTCCTTTTTCTTTTGAAAAAAAAAAACCAAAACAAAACATTTTCGGGCTTTGAACACCATCAATATTCAACATGTCTACTCCATTTTCTCTCCTTTTCTTTTGAAAGTTTTTGGGCATATGCTCTAACAATACAATTGAAAGTCAACTTGTCATGGAAGTCACCATCTTCATAACACTCGACCTTGATATGTCACAAATTCAGCAACAAAAGAAAGAAAAACAGGGAGTAATTTCCTTGTACAAACAATCCGTCATCAAAACTCAACCGCTACGTGGAACTAATTTCAAACACCAAAAACTCACCAGCGTACCTGATGAGCAAAGACACGGGCCATTATAATGTCATTATAACAAGACAAGACACGGGCAACGTCACGAGTTTCCTCCCGCTTGCCCATTTGTATATCATCTGGTCCTAAATATATAGCGTGACCTCCTAGCAAGAAAAATCCAGTCTCAAACGATACGCGCGTTCTCATGGAGGGTTTTGCAAAGATCATAGCCATTGTCTTGCCCTTGAACGGAAGATATGTATTCTCTCCTGATTTTAGCAGTGCCTTAACCTCAGCAGCTCGGTCTAACATCTTCAAAATAGTGGCTTTATCAAAATCGCTAATGTGCAGAAAATCCTTCGGCTCAGACTTTGCTGTAAATTAAAAGAAGCATAAGAAAATGACAGGTGACAAATTGTCTCACTAGCCAATCTCTGCTTAGCAAGAAACTATTGGATCTTTTTATTTTTTTATTTTTTTATTTTTTACCAGAGTTGTATGGGCTATAAATTTTTAACAAGTGAACATCTAGCATCAACCCACCATAATATCTAGCACATATAGTTACTTCTGTGAGCTTAGAGACTCCAAAATCAAACACAACAATGAAAACAGTCCGTCAATTCGAAACAAAAATCTGGTGACGCGTGTTTGGCCAAAAAAACAAAAACAAAAAAAGGGTATAATAATTGTCCCTAGCTTGCAAAATTTTTCTGCAAGAGCCGAAAGTAAGAATCGCAATAGGAACAGGACAATAAAAACAACAGCAGATGATGCTATTATCTACTAAAGGAACACTCAATCAGCGGGCATTTCCAGTCACAAACCTTAATTTACCATCTTCCAATCAATCTAACACACTCATCGACACGCGTAAACAGCTACATTGTCGAATAAGCCCTAATTCAAGTATTACTTTCCTACCGAAAGTACAACTTTCATGCAACATGAGTATCCTTACATGATTTCCGAGATAGAAGTGCATAAACCCTAATTTTTTCAAGTGAATTGATCAAAACGGCAAGGAAAGCCTCTGTACGTTTCATCTATAAAAGCATTAAGATATTCAGACAGAGTAAAGATCAAAGACGAGCATTAACCTTTTCCGTTAACGGATGATGAAGGTGAGGTAGCAGAGGAGGTCTGGGACGAGATTCGGCGACGGAGAACCGGAGAAGACAATGAAATGCCGGATAATTTCTTGGAAGTTAGCGGCGATGATCGCAGGAGGCTCCGGCCGGAGAAATAGGAAAACGGAGAGGAGAGAGAAGGCTTGTCTGCTCGGATTGAGCAGTTGGAGGAAATCGCCGCCATTTTTGCATCTGGTAGGAACAGTAAAACGCAGAGTGGGAAAAGAGTGTTTTTCTTCAGGCCTGGGTTTATATGTGCATTGCTTACACGTGGCGTATAGCTGTAAGTGTGAGTCGGTTGTCCCAAGCTCATTATTATTAGCTCTAACTAAACTTTCGGTTTAAATTAGGCCGAAATTTCGAACCTGAAAATTAATACTTTTTTCTTATAAAATTTTGAGTCAGTGTTAAGATTCGTTTATTTTATTAATTTGTGTTGAGATGTAAGTTGTGATTTTATGTAAAAAAAATTTATTATAGTAAAAAAATTAAATATAATTATATAATAAAATTTAAATAGATAAAAATAATTTTAAGACCTCAATTGGGCCGCCCTCCCTTCTAGATACGGTCTGGTCAGACGGTCTGAGTTTTCACTTCTAGCGTAGCGTTTCTTATGTTATGAGATTACCGCTGCCAACGACATGATATTGCTTTCCGAATTCCAAATAAAATTTGGAAAAGTTGCAAACATAACCTTTGATTTTGATTAAATAACAAAATATGATCTCCTCAAGTTTTAAAATTATTTAAATCCTCCCCGCCCACTTAAATTCTTCTAAAGAGACGTGAAATTACAAAATTATGCTTGTAAAGAAAGCAAACCATTTGATGAGAAGTGGTCGAACTAGTTAAGAATTCAAAGGAATACTGAAATTGCATTAAAAAAAATTCTTATTATATCGAAGACAAATTGTTGCATTTTCTTGACGACATATGTGATTATTGAAGTTAAAAGTTAGCTGCGGTCAATTCCTCTTTCATGGTTATGGGTTTTGTTCAAGGAGGAGAAGATAAAAGACAGAGGGTGTTTGTTTCACAACTCGAGTTAAGAATTCGAGTTGTATTTGTGAGAGAAAAATACTGTAATAACAAAATAAAATTTAAATTTTTATAAGAGAAAATATTATAGTAATAAAATTTAAGTTGTGACTTGGGTTGTGAAAAGAACAAGACTTTTGTCCACTTGATTTAAGGTGTCTCTTTTCCCTCTCTTTCTCTCTCGTTCTCTCTCTCACCCATCCCAAAACACACTTTTGTTTCGTATAAAGGAAAAAAAAGGCACAAAAATTATCTTTCTCACTCATTGGTATTTGCACAGATCTGATCAACAAGCTGAATCTTAGAGAGAGAGAGAGGGGTTGAGGGAAGGTGAAGAAGCTGCCATGGAGGGACAGGCGGCAAAGCCCTCAAAGCGAAGATCCCCAGAAGAAGAGAGAGTTTGGTTCGTCATTGTTTGGTGGGTTCTCATAAAAAATGATTTCAGAAGTTTTAATAAGTTTTAGGGTGCGTTTGGTAGTAATTCTTGGAGCTTCAAATCACTTCTTTAGCCATCAGAAGCTTTGTGTTTGATTAAAATCACAAAAAATGATTTTTAAAGAATTTTTAAAGAATTTACAGTCAAAATCAGAAACAGTCTAAAAATAACTTTAATTTTTAAATTATGCAGAAATCAACATAATAAAATTACTAATTATCAATAAAATTATATTAAATAATTAATAATTAATTACTAATTATATTAATAATTAATTAATAATTAATAAATATATATACTTAATAAATAATAAATAGATAATAATTACTTAATTATTAATTAAATATTAGATTATTACTATTAAGTTTTTAATTTTGTTAATAAAATAATAATTTTTTATTTAGTTAAAAATTAATTGTAAAAAATTAGTTATATAACATATTAACAATAAAACAAGTAATAATAAGTTATTAAATAATTAATTAATAATTAATATATCAATCATATATTATGTTAATTATAATCTATTAATTAGCAAATAGTTAGTAATTAAAAAATAAATAGTAATTACTCAATTAATAATTAATATTAAATAATGATTATTTAAAAATTAATCATGTGATATATCAAATAATAGATTATTAAATAAACATTAGTAATTAATTAACTAATTATTTAATTATGTAACTAAAAGTTAATAATTTAAGTAGTAAAAGAAATATTAATAGATTATGTATATACTAATTCTTTTTATTAATACATTAATTAATTATAGTCATCTTAACTATCTACAATTTAACACACTCAGTTGCTACCCACAACAATTTAACACACTCAAATACTTTTTGTAACAACTATTTTTTTCAGTACAATTAAAAATAATTTTTTTTAAAATTTACAGCATGACCAAACTGGCCCTTAATAGTTTTAAGTAATTAATTCAATTTTTTCAGCTTAATTAAGTTTAAATATTTTAAAAGGAGTGACACATCACTAATTCTGTTAGAGGATATACATGGAGTTAGATAAAAAGGACATCTTGAGTCGTTTTTTATATGATAGAAGGTGTTTTGAACTGTTTTTCGGGGATGATTATGAAAATAATCTTTTGAGAAACCATCGGCCTTTTTTGAGAGAGGGCGGCACTGTTTTCAATATTTTAAGAGAGAAAGAGGAAAATAAACCAAGACTTAAGATAAATTAAAATTAATAGGCCAATAGTTTACATAAGTTAATAAATAGGCAAAATTACTGTTTTCATCCATAACTTGTTTGGTTATGAACCATAACTTGACAAGTTATTGTCCATAATTGTCCATAACTTGTCTGGTTATGAACCATAACTTGATAAGTTTATCCATAATTTATCGCGTTATGAACCATAACTTGATAAGTTATGGCCTATTAATTTTTATAACTAAAAATTGACCTATATACTTTCTTAAGCTTTTTATATTGGCATATTTTCTACTATTTCTCATATTTTTAAAAAAGGTGCCCAATTAACGTAAGAGAAACGCCGAAACCGCGTTTTCTATCAGAAAACCGCCCTTAGAAAACGCGTTTCTTTACATAGTTGAAAAACGCGTATCTTACAATTCGTTCGTTCACAGGCCATCTATATTCAGGGCACAGTACCAGTTTCCCACCCTATTTGCTACTTCACTTCCCGGATATTGGAGAGTTATGGCGGCCAATTCTTCTCCGTTCAAGGTATGTCCCCACTGTTTTCATTTTTCAGGCCTGATAGCTAGGGTTTCTACACATCTTCTCTTTCAAATTTATGTTAAAGGGACGATCTATTTCGTTTGGTGCTTGAAGCATCAACGTGAAAGAATGGAACGGAAAGAAAGGTTGTGTCTCGGAACTTTAGGGCATTTTTTATTGGTGAAGACGATAGAGAAAAGAGAAAAAAATTTTACTTTCGGGAGCAGAACCTGTATTTGTTAATAATATAATCTGATTATCCTGCTAAATTTTGGTGTTTATTTGCGTAATTGTGCAGATAATCTTGGGATCGTCTTCGGTAGCTCGTCGGAAAATATTGGCGGAAATGGGTTACGATTTCACAATCATGGTAACAGTACAATTTCCGGAAGAAATATTTGGTTTTGAATTCTTTGATTGTTTTGAGACTGGAACTTCATTTTTCTACTGATAGACTGCAGACATTGATGAAAAAAGCATCCGAAAGGAAAAACCAGAAGATTTGGTTATGGCTCTTGCCGACGCGAAGGTTCTGGCTCAAATTCCATTGGTTTCTGGTTGATATGTAGAATTTACTTTATCTTTTGCCATTATTTGCGTTTTTGTTTCTCAAAAACACTCTTT